GCGACGAGTACTCGGTCCGAAGTTGATCGAGGAGACAGTTGAGCAGGTAGCCTGGATCAGAGAGAGGCTCAAGACAGCTCAGAGTCGGCAAAAGTCCTCAGCCGATCAGCATAGACGAGAGATGCATTTTGAGCCCGGAGATCATGTATTCCTGAAGGTTCGACCGATGAGAGGTGTCGTTCGCTTCGGGAAGAGAGGGAAGTTGCATCCTCGCTATATAGGCCCGTTCAAAATTCTCGAGCGAGTGGGCAAAGTCACCTATCGATTAGCTCTGCCTCCCGATTTGGCTGGCGTGCACAACGTGTTCCACGTTTCGATGCTACGCCCATACGTGTGCGATCCCGAGCATGTGCTTCAGCACAGCGAGATTCAGCTTCAGCCAGATTTGACTTACGAGGAGCAGCCGGTAGCAGTTCTGGATCGAAAGGTCCTTCGGCTCAGGAACCGAGACGTTCCCCTCGTTCGTATCAGATGGAATCGCCACGGAGATTCAGATGCCACATGGGAGCGCGAGGCAGATGTTAGAGCTCGTTTTCCAGATTTTGAGTTCTGATATGTACCCAGTTGTATATATTTTTAGTTCTTGTATGTATTTCTCCAATTTTAGTATTTCCGAGGACGGAAATATTTTAAGGGAGATAGATTGTAATAGCCCAGATTCTGTATTAATAAAAATGTTCAATACTAGACTGGGATGAAAAAACTAGTTACCCAGGTTATCACTACATTCAGATGGGTGTAGCCGAAGAAAGTAAGGCACCAACTCCATTAGTGCAAGAAAAACCCGAGCTTTCTGAAGAAGAAGTAAATCTAGAACGTGATGATAGGATTTATCTTATCTTAAAAGCTCTTGAGAAAATTACACTTGATAGTAAAATGAAAGTATGTATACTGCAGCAATTACATTTTGTTGATTAGTAATTTCAACAAGAAAATCAACAAGCAGAAATTCCCAATTATTAGAAAGTGGGAAGATAAAGTCATTACAGACATCCATGCTACTAAAGGCACGAAGCTATGTGTAAAAGCCATAGTCCAGACTGTCGGCGAAGAAAAAGAAGAAAATCACGCCACGAGGAGAAAAGAAGAAAACTCCGCCAAAGGAAAGGGAAAGTTGGAAAAAGAAGATAAGTGACTAAGAAAAGGCATCACCCAACTAAAGAAAGGTGGAAATGTAAGAAAGAATAAGATGCTGAATTTACTCAGCATCCACCCAATAATGGAGGAGACACCAGCATGTGGTGGTCCCTCTTATCTTTAGTTCTTTTAAAAATGCGTTTGGTGAGACGACGACATATACCAAACCTCATTTATTCACGTATTTCTAGTTCTTATATAAGGAGATGCCATTGAAGTGTATAAGGCATCGATCCTCATGAGATTGTGTATCTACTCAGTATCATTTTCTGTAAACACTTTCAATATTTAATAAAAAAGAAGCTTTTAAGCATCAATCCAAAAAAACTGCGAGCTTCATATCACAGAAGCATTAAGCTTCAAACATCTAGAAGGTATCAAGCTTCAAGAAAAAGAGTCCAAAAAAGGATCAAACCAAGAGCTTAGGCTAGATTCCTCTGGAGATTCCTGAATACACAATCGCTCGTCGGAGTAAGATCCATCCAGAAGGGATGTAAGACGACTTGGAGCACAGTGTTTGGAATTTAAGAAGAAAGCAGGAAGCTATGGTGGACCAATCAATTCTAGCAAATTCAACCAGAGAAGAAACCTAGGTAAATATCTGTATCTACCTCTAAAAAGAAAGGAGAACACAATGTTAGGCCTGAAAAAATCTCAAAAAGAAAAACAAGTCTTTCTGATACAAAAATATTAAAAGAATTTCTTGCTAACTGTAGAACTCAGTTAGATGGTAAATTTAGATATTTTGAAAAAAAAAAATGAGTATTGTTAGAAATAATTTTACTAGATTAATTGATTTTTTAAACAAAGATATCAAAAGACATACATAAGAACACAAAGAAGAACCTGATAATCTGCTTATTCTTGAAAACTATAAGAAATAGAAAATAAAATAAAAACATTAGAAGAAAAAGAATCAACTATTTCTTTCGAAGATTGTTTTAATTTTTAAGATGAAAGAAGAGTTTGGCAAAATTAATAAAAAAATAAATGCTAGTTCCCTAAGGTTAGGTATTTATGGAGATCTAAGAAAAAACAAAATAGATTTATTTGAGAAAGCTAGGGCAGATCTCTTAGAAAATCTTGAAAACCCTTAAATATGGAATAACACTCAAGAAGAATTATTATAAAAAAAACATTATACAAGAGATAATTACTATGGAGATTACATTTAAGAACTAGAATGCCAAGTTAATTATCTAAAAAGTATAAAGAAAAAATTGAAAAAATTAAAACATAAAATCTAGAAACTTCTGCATTTTCTCAGTCATAATGATAATAAAGCTGAAATTAAAACTCAAAGCTGGATACAAAAATAGTATCAGAGCCTGATAACATGTGAAAATACTAAATTCTTAGAATAAAAGTTTGTTGATAAAGAAAATAATCTTTTAGATTACTACACAAAACACGAAAAATCAGACTACTTAATTGAAGCCTTGATAGATGCAAACAAATTAGGAATAGCATATCACTACTTAAAGAAAAATCATAACTTCAGAAATGAAGGATTGATAAAGAAATTAAATAGCTAAATTTCTAGAAAAAAATGAAATATTTCTTTGGAATCATTTCTGGAGAAGAAGCAATAGATGCAAATCAAACAAAAGGAAATGTAGTTATCCCTGCTATCTGTAAAGAGCATATGCTTTGTACATTGAAAGATATAAAAGCAGAAAGTAAGAATAAAATTTCCTACTTACATGTTTCTAGTTTACAAATGATTCTTAAATCAAGTTGTCTAGGAATAGATTCACCTGTCACAATAAGACTAGTTGATAATAGAATAATTGATTATTTTGATTCTCTAATAGCTGAAGGGAGTGGAAATCTAAAATCTGGTAAAAGTAATTTAAACTTAAACTACAAAGTCGGAATGTCTTTATTAGACAATAATTTAGATGACTCCATCACTTTATGTTGGAACATGAAAAGAAAAATAATGAAAACTGGAAACCATCCATTTCAGTAACATGGAGAATAAATTATGCATTGACTAACAATCATCATAGTCTTTCATTCAAACCTCATGATAAAATTGAAATTGATGAATTGTTTTCACCTATATTGCAATTAGAAGCTCCTGCAAGGTCTTTTTAAATACATAGAACTTTGTCTTTTGTTAGACCCAAAATAGAATACATTATTCCTAAGCAGAATAATAAAGAAAATGAAGCTAATTCTTCAAAAATAGACACTTGTACTGAAATAATCATTACACCTAATAACAAAATATATAAAATTGAACAAAAGGTTCAAGGGATAAGTAAAGAATTAGGACTTAAAATATAATAAGTTCTAACAAAAGATATATAATGAAACTACTTTCGTTATATCACAATAAAAAACGAAGGAACATTCGTCATATAACATAAGGGTATATTTGACCTTTCATTAATCACATCTATATATATTGATAAAGGTTGATGTTAAATTCATTTTTGAAAACCTAAAATAATTGAGTCAAAACTTTGACTTACTAATTGGGGAAGATGTTTAAAAATCCGGAATTTAATTGCTAACCAAAATCATTTAAAAAACACGTGCAATCAATATTTTAATCAATTGAGATTTTACCATCTAATCCGTATCCTATTTTTTTGCTAACAAAATCAGCTAATCTTAGGTATTTAATGTCAACACTTATCCCATTATTTAGGGAAAAATATATTCAAGTCAATTTAAAAATCATGTGCAACTCCTTTCAAATTCTTTTTTTTTTTTTTGTATCATCGGTTAATTTTTTATGTTTAATGTCAAACAATATCCTATTATTTAGGAAATTTAAAATTCAAATTAGTTTTATGTCGTAATTTTCACTTAGTAATCCAGTTTTCGAATTCAAATTGATCCTCAATTCTGTCAAATTAGCCGTAAATGTAGTTTCCAAATACTATTTCATATTTAATTTATTCCCTTAAGCAACAATTAAATTATGTTTTCTATTTTTCTTCAATTATATTTCAAAATACCATTTGTGTTTTATCCTAGCAAAAGACTTCTTAAACAGGCGACTATTCGAAAATCTATTATCGGAATATATCCTTGCATATCAAATTTTAATTAAGTAAAAAGATATATTATATTTTGGTGCAATTTTTATATGAATGCAAATATATATATATTTCTATCAAAATCTCAAATTCATGCAACGGAACCATTTTTAAAATATCTTCTATGCTATGTCAAAATCTTTTTTTAAAAAGCACTTGTATTATCTATCGTTTTTAATTTTAAAAATCGTCTTCGTTGTTTCATCAGGATCTTCTGAACAGAAGAGGTGGCAATTGTTTGAAACGAAGAGGATTCTGAACAGAAGTGTTATGCTTGGGGAGGCTGCTGTTTCTTTGCTTTTTGTTGCTTCTTCTTAGTTGCTTTGGCTTGTTCTATAGTGGTTGGTTGGCTGTATTATTACTTCTGTAGCTTTTGCTTGTATTTTTTTTCTTTTAGGTTTGTTGTTGGTTTTGGTCTTGTTTGTTCTTGGTTGGTGTCTTTGTTAGCTGACTTCAGTTTGAAGTTCATGCTGCAAATCAGTTGCCCTCTGCACATTTTTGAGCCGTGGTGGAATGAACCCATCATCTGTAACAATTTTACAAGATTCTAAATTTTCTGAATATACAATATTAAATTATTTTACAGCTAATATTCCTATTATGTTTTATAGTTATACAAAAAAAAAAAAAAAAACCGATTTATATGAATGTTAAATAATTTATATTTATATTATACATTTACATAGACTCAAAATTGTAAAATGTAATACACACTTTATCTAATTTAAATTTTTAAATATCATGTACATACATAAAATATATGAATTTTTGTTTTTCTTTGTGCATGTGCACAAGATCGAATACTAATTATCAACTAATCTTTGAGCAACAAATATGAAATAATGTCGTTTCTTTCAATTACATGCTTAAGAAAAGGGCCACATGTCGCTCATATAAGGTATAAAAGAGAAGAAATTTCATCTAAAAAGGGAAAAAGTTTCCAATAAGCAATAATAAGCATGAATGGGACTTCAGAAAACAAAGAAATAAATAGAAGCAGCACGATTACGATGGCATATTTGACAGAAGTTGAATGAAGCTCCAATTCCAGTATCATCCAATGCAAGTGAAAAGGAAAATATACAAAACGCCACAACAGTGCCTGCCTGCATATATTCTTCAACAGCCCTTAGGCTTAGATAAATAAAATCGACAAGACAAGAAATAAATAACTGTGCAGGCAGCCACCACTTTCTCTACTATACCAAAACTCACTCCCAAGTAACCGACACCATCGAGTTTCCAAGCCCCGACTCTTCAAAAGTTGATTTATCATTAAAATCCAACGACTTTGAAGCACCTGGAATGGCTTGGGTCAGGCGGAATGACTTTGTGCCATCTTCTTTCAGCTCAGAATAGCAGAATGACCACAAAAGCTGATACCAAACGACTAATTAATTATCTTCATCAAAAATTTATTTCTGGCACTGTCCAGTAATCAATATGAATACATAATCGAGCCAGGATCCAATTAGAGATAGATACACGGTTACAAAGGAACACGGATTTTACATGTAAATGATTCAATGTTTTCATGAAATTGGTTAGAGGATCATTTTTTTTGAGTAAAAAACCTTACTTATATATGGTTAAATGTCAAAATTCTCATAATAATGCAAATAGTTGTTTCACAAAAACTACTACGAGACAAAACATTGTATTACTTTTTTATATCCCATGATTTTCACCACATATGTAAGCGCGTTTGTTGTTCAGAAAGCATTGACAATAAAAATTAAATTATACCAATTTCACTCAATTGGTTGTACAGCAGACCTACTAAAGAAGAGGGGAAAAAACAATAGACAAATAAAAAGTTCCTTCCAGGAATAAGACCGACAAAATTTCAAACTATCATATAATTATAACTCCAAAACTGAAATAAATAAAATAGTTACCTGAACTGGGTCAGTACGGAAGAAGTTTCTCTGAACTCTACGCCCATCAGGAAGACGGACACCAACCCTGCAAAGTATACTTTTATCCCCCTTCGGTTCTTCGGGCAAAGGCAAATAAACAGGCTTCTGCACTTTCTCCTCTGCATTAGCATGACTCACTTCTTTCATATCTCCATTGAATTCCTTACTGTTCTCCAAAGAGACTGCCAATGCATGCTGTAATTCTTCATCTTCATCTTCATCTTCAACAATACTTTTACCTGCAGCCAGTGAAATATTTATGATTAGTATTATTATGCAAGCTATAAGCATTTCAATAGAAAATTTGAAGAGGGCGTGAAGAGAAAATAATAATAATAAAACAAAAGAAAATAAGATAATAAATAAAACACCTAGACAGCAATATCCAAACATACCAATTGGTTTAACCTGATAAATAAATATATTAGATGTTACGAATCTCTGAAAGAATGTTCTAAATCAAATAAGATGCCTCCAGAATGTACTCGACATGTTCATAAAATGTTATAGGTTTACTTTCATCTAGGATATCTCTAATACAGTTACATACATATATAAAGGTTACACACTTACTATAAATAGCCTATAAAAATTGCACCAAAGAATAAACTTACTAATAAAGGAAATTTTCATTAAGTTTTTTTCCGCCAAAACAATCTAAGAAAAGCTAATTCCTAAAATTTTGAATCCAGATTTTGTTCCATCCAAAGAATGTTGTTAACAGAAATAGCCCTTTTTTCTCTCATTGAATAAATGTGAGATTTAAATTTACTTCAAAACAAATTCTTTATCCTTCATTAAACTTTCAGTATATTCGTACAAAAATCTGTTTTTTTCTGAATTTTTACATAATATCACATAATAATTCTTTAATTTGGTATTTAGGACAACATAATTGGTAACGACATATTTAAGTATAAATTTGTTAATTCATGATGGTCATAGAATGCCAAATTGTCAAAAATAAGAATTGTAGGATAGTTCACTAGCTTACGCATAAAAAATATTTCTTTCACAAAGTTAATGAAATACTAACTGCACAAGAATATTTTACAAACTTGCAAATGCAACTTTTCAATTAGCACAACTCGAAAAAATATTTCTTAAAAACTCACTAAACTATACATGAATATCTTTATGACTTTTTGCAAGGAAGACGTAATATAAACCACCTAGCCAAAAATATATATTGCACTATATATGTATATAAATAAGAAAAATGTGTTATTATTAAAATGCTTAACTAGGAAAACAAAGAAAAAAAAAATGCTAATCAGACTTCTGTGAGGGCCGAGGGTTTTGTTGTTGTGCATGATGCATGGAAAAATGATCAAGGCGTGTATGTACACGTCGACAAAAATGGTGAACGTTCGGTAGTCAGTTCTCATGAATATTAATTGCACAATGGATTAGCTCTTACATGGACAAAATTATGGCATAATATCACTTATGGTAAACCATGTACATGTAACAACCATATTTTAACTTATTAAATTTAACTTTACTATTAAAACCACATTTAATTCATAAATCAATCTTAATATTGTTTTGCCATGCAGGTACATACTAGTTGAAGAGGATAAGAAAACCAAAAAACCTGGAATACTTTGGACATGAGTTGGAGCTCGAAAACTTTCTCTAGGACGTTTGTGAGATTGAGTGACATGAAGGTCTGATGGGCTGTTGTCCATAAATCGCAAAAGATCCTAAAGCAAAAATTAAGGACCTAGGTCAGGAACATAATTACTATATATGTGTATGCAAATATATGTTGATCCACATGAAAAATGACTTTCAAGAGTATATGACTTATTGTTTTCTTGAATGGAACAAATAACTCGTTTATACAAATGTTCAATGCATAGGTCTTGCAACGCATCAAAACCTCATTTACCTCAAGTAAGGTCTCTGGTTGAACCATTCCACGCCAAGAATGCATTTTTTGACCCGTTACTGGATCAATTACGAGAACAACAGGGATAGAATCTAACTTATAGTAAGTACACACCTTGCTGCCCTCTTCTGTGTCATCATATACCTATAGCAGATAGAATGGAGGGAGTAGTCAACATGAAATGCAACTCATGTGGCGAGCAAATGTAATAGCGTGGCAAAGAAGAAATAGTGTCTTGCACAAAAGCTCTGGAAAAAACTCAATTTTAGCATTTATATCAGTGAAACTACCTTTTTCTTTAAAAATAACAGAAATTATTATGCAAAGAAGATTAACACATGGATTTTAGACATCACGTCCACAAAGATTAATGTACCTGTACAACCACACATTTCAACAGACTATTGCTTCTGGACACATTGAGCTCAAAGCCTCAGACAAATGAGTGAAATAATTACATTAATAGACCCATAATGACACCTTATATTTTAGTTCTAGGCCAGATATTCAATATCATAATAATTTCCTCATTGCCTACAAGCATATGTGCAGAATTTTCTCAACCCTTTTCAATTATTTTAGAGCTCAGCATCCCCTGTTTCTTCGCAATTATGGTTCATTTTTCTTTATAATAACCAATGATGATGCATAAAAAATGGCACTTGTCACAATGCAGTCCATAAAATAATAGGAACCATCGGAGAACCTCTTTTCTTTAGAACTCGTCGGTTAACTCAGATAACAATTCTCTGATGAAAACAGGAGTGCAGTTGAACCAGAGTCCGTCCACAATTTATATTTGCGCATTTACGGATATGTCGTTGAAGAAGTATTATGTGTTAAAGAACAAATAAGCCAGTGCAGTTGAATTCACAAGACAGCTAGAAAATAGCTCCACATCTGTGTTTCAAATTTACATGGTAAGTTCTGTAAACATGTACTAATTGCATGACAGTTGCTTATGAAGATCAAAAGAAAACAGATCTTATTTAAAAAGAAAAGAAGTAAAAAATAGCAAAAATAGCAATGATTAACAAAGCACCATGAAATCCAAATCAACTAAGAAATAGTAACATATTATACAAACCTGCCAGAAGATAAAGTTTGTCTTTATGGTTTGAGCAGCAGCTTCATTCGCCCAGGTGTCACGGTTAAGCTTCAAAGAAGAAAATATATCGAGGGTGTGTCAAGGCATGTAATCAAAATGCATTTTCCAAACTATATCATATTACACACACACAGGGGTTGGAGATCAAAACCCATGTACCATGTGCGAGCTAAATTCCCTGGTAGACTGTACGTTTACTAGAAGCCACTTGTTCTGCATCCTTGCATTATCTTTTGCCTGTAAAAAGTTATAGCTTTATATCACGAGTAACCCATGGCATACACGAAGCACAGAAGTTAAAAATGGTGCAGGATTTCCTGTCAACCAATTCCGTAGCAAAATAACCAAATGGGTTCTTTGATTACATGATCACTGTACAGTAATTTTTTTGGGTAATGGTGTCACATATGGAACAACAAAAAATACACAGGTTAATAATAGGAAAACNCTTGAAGTTCAGTGCCCAACAAATACAATATCATACTAGTGTTAAGTATATCAAGGCCCAGGCCTATAAGGCCCAGGAAGAACTCTAAATATATGGTCTTTCATATCAAAGGAAGATATCAACTCAGAAAACCCTAGGTTTGTAACAATTAGAACTAATGAGTCCACATGTAAGATAATGAATGGAAAAGGAGGTCAATGAAGATTGCAAAAGAAAACGAGGTTGTTACACATCTATGTCTTGAAGTGCCATCTTTCAGTTTTTGCATCAGAACCCTAATTTGTTTTATTTAAGTAGTAGTGTTTAGGTTTCTTAAGGTATTGAGAAAAAGAATAGAGGAGCCTTTGGCTTAGGCAGGAGAAATCCTGATCGGTCTTAGAGCAAGCTCGCCTGCAATTGTTTTTGTTTTTTTCTCGTATCATTTTTAATGATTAATGATAAATTTCAGCAATGAATTTCTGCACTCACTTCACCTTATTGTATATGCTGCCAATCATAGTTATTAGTCATCTTTATAATATATTAAGAAACCTCAATTAAGAACTTTTCCAAGCAATGCCTAAGTAAGTTCATTTCTAATGCCACATTGACAAAGAGGAGGAAAAGGAAAAAAAAAAAGACAACAAACTGAAGTTTGTCATATGCACCGAGGCAGATATAGTATTGCGCAAGGAACATGACAACTTCAAATGCAAAACAGAGCTTCCGCACAAAGCTAGGAAAAGGAAACTAGCAGCAATTCTGCAGTAAATGCCCCGCCACAATTCCGAGTTATAACTTTATATACAGAGTTTCTTAAAGCATCATTTAAAGAATAAAACTTGTACCTTTTCAAAAGGTCCATGGAACATCAAAGCAAATGGAGGACGATATAAAGATGCAAGATTATCCTGAGTCTTATCCACTGCAGAAGAAGAGGAACCTTTTTCTGCTTCCCAGACACCGGGATATTTCATTTCCTCCTCAAAATTGCGAAACGGAACAACGGAATGAGTTACATAGGATGAATCTCCCCCTCTTGGTACTCCACTGGATCTGGATGCGGACAAACATGATTAGCATAAACAAGACAATAAAATTTGGCCACACAAACAAAAAGCTTCCAGAAGAGATGGTTTAATGAAAATGAAATAAAACAAAACAAAAGGATTTCACTAAGAGAAAAAACATATGAGGTCAGATATTTAGCAATAAACGAGACAAAATTCGCTATCATAAGTAACATAAATACGAGCATCATGTTTGTAGAGGACAAGAAAATATAAATTACCCATAGTGAATTGGATTATCATAGAGAACTTCCCGTTTCACAGGTAAAGGTGCCCGTACATCATCTCCACCATCTTGTCCTACCAATTCCTTTTCCAGACCACTGCATTCAAAAATATGCATATTTGAGTAAGATATTTGAAACAAAGGAAAGATAAGGTCAAACATTCTTATGTTTCTCCAAAACATGCCTTATGTCTGAATCGTTGAGGAGCTGATCACTTGCCACGGCTGGAGAATGTACAGATGCTGAAGCGAACCCACCTTCATTTCCTACATAGAAAAGTTGAATAGCTTCCTCAAGCTTCCAGCCAGTGGCCTGCGTCGCAAGAATTCTCGAGTCATAACATTTTATGCAAAAAGGAAGTTCTCAAGTCTCAACCATGACAGAAGCAAGTTTACAGAGATATTCAATGCTTTCAAACCATTTAGTATAATAAGGATGTCGCTTGGTCAAAGTGAAGTATAATAAGCAAAGGACCTTCTCAAACTTCTATTTCTAACATGTAAAGGATCACTAAAAAAATTGAAAATACTTAGGATAGGCGGCATGATAATCATAATAGATTAGTACACAAATGCCACGAATTTAACCAGAACCTTCAGAATTAGATAACTTGTTCAAACCACACAAAGCCAAATTAGATGATTTCCAAATTGAGGAGGCCAAAAATTTGCACCAAATATAACCCAGTGCTTCTTATTGATTAGTGGTGCTGGTAACAATTTGTAGTTTCTCATGGTCAGGTAAAACTCCATGTAATAATTCTCTTCACTAGTCAACTTCAACATAACTCACGGCTCACGTAAATGTAAGAAACAAAGCACCACAGACTTCAACAATAGCTCTTTTGTTCTTCTGTATAAAATGAGATCCTTCTATTTAACGTACTTATTTTCTAATCCTGATCTCTTCTTACCGAACTCCAGTGGTGTGAATCTGTTCTTATTTCACCCTTTCCGACTTCTAGCATGAACCCACTTCAGCTCTCTTCTCCTTTTCTTCTTTACTTATCTTTTCCTTCAAAACCCTCTAAATTATATATAATGATTATTTTGATTTTTGGCTTCTATCATCTTTGTAATGTGTACCAAGATAGTATTTGTACTATCGCCAACATTGGACACTATCATTGCTTTTTTCATCCTCGTCTTCCCTTCTTTACGTTGAAAAGCAGAGAAGTGGTGAATTTATCTCTTTATGGACGCACGAGAGGACGGATAATGAAAAGCAGTAAAGGAAATGGTGGATAATATTATGAATGGAGGGTGACAACTCCAATGAATCAGCTGGGCAGGCTAGGCCCCCTAAGAACAACAGTATGGTTGATTTAGAAATTATAACACAGCTATAATATACAATTCATCTTTCTCAGTTTCCCCTTATTTTTTCATTTACTGATGTTAAGTGAATGTAATCCGTGAAGATCCACAAAATAAAAGTAAAAAGGAAAAAAATCCTCCTCCTAATGCTCTCGTCTTTTCCTGTTTCCTTTATTTTTCTTTTCCTTTTTTCCCTTCTCTAGCACTGTAAGACGATTGGAGATATGCGGTTCCTCACCAAACTCGTTCATTTATTTGTTTTTACATAAATAAATTGTTGAGTACTAGATCGGTTTCAAAATTCTAGTCCCTGATATCCACAAATATTTTAGCATTGCATTTCATTTTTTTCCTAGATAAATGGATATGATCGGTAGCAATCCAAACAGGTTGAGTCAGTGTGCAAAACACAAACCTAAATGCTCACACCCAGTTCTATTATGAGAAACACACTAGTATATCTTGTATTCCCTGTTAACATCATTACTTTATTTTTTTTTCAAGGAAAAAAGCACCTTAATTAGTAACTGAGACAAAGATAAACTATGTTTTTACCATGCTGTGCTCTCAATAAGGTGACTAGGAGTATAAGGACTGAGAGAATAGAAACAATTAAGTTTTACAACCCAAGCATCAATTATTATACACAAATCAACCTAATCATTTATAAAAAAAAATAGTCTGGATGTAACACATGGAATTGGCAGCAGCAGTTTGCAACCCGAAGCAAAAGCAATAATTGATAAACAATACAGCGATTCAGCTAGCTAATTACCCCAAACATCACAGTAATGACACCCACTACGTACACATTGGGTATCGATGACTAAGTACACTAGGACGTTAACCCCATCCAAAGTCAGCACAATTGATTGGCTAAAAATCAAAACAAAAACACGTCCAAAATTAAGATCTTTTCGGCACAAGAACTGATAATTCGCGGTCCAACATAGAGCAGCTCGCAAAAGAATTAATTTCATTATTCAGGCGCGTGACACCAAACAAAAACCCCAGATTACCTGAAGAAACTGACGGGCGGTATCGGCCGTTTGGCCGACTGCGATTTCCATAAAGGTCGCCACCATGTTCTGCTGATCCGTAGCGGACAAAAGACCCTCCATCTATGTAATTTCTTGCCTGGGAGATTGATATTTCTCCTGGGTTTTTCAGAATTTTGGAGGTGGGTATTGAGGTACTAAGCCTATATTGTCATTGATGGGCGACAGGGTGAATGAAAAGTCGAAGGGCCAAGGACGTATGACGTGCGTTCAAAGACGCGATGTATATAAGT